TAAGTGTCCTTCCTTCCTTCCTTCCTTCCTTCCTTTGTTTGTTCCTTCCTTCTTTGTGTCCTTTATCCTTTCCTTCCTTCCTCCCTTTCTTCTAAGTGTCCTTCCTTCCTTCCTTCCTTCCTTCCTTTGTTTGTTCCTTCCTTCTTTGTGTCCTTTATCCTTTCCTTCCTTCCTCCCTTTCTTCTAAGTGTCCTTCCTTCCTTGTGTACTTAATCCTTTCCTTTCCTCTCCCCATTATACCTCAGTAGTTTATTCCTATGAGATGATGGATGTTAATCTCTGAAAGGTTGTGGTTGTTTTTGTCTAATGACAAAGGGGATCCCCCCCCCCCAGGGATCCCCTGAGCAGGAGGAGGCGTCTCTTTGTTGTCCCCATTGTGGCTTCAGTCAGCATCAGTGAAGAACCAGCAGCTCTTCCTCTCCTCCACCTCTGCTGGCTCCAGCTTTAGCTTCCTGTTAGCCACATCAGCAGAGATCAGAACCTCCTGATGGGAGGACTGGGCATGGCTGTGGGAGCTGTGGTAATGAGGGTGTGACCCACCAGCTGGAGCTCCTCCTTTCTGTCCTGCCTCTGCTTTCTTTATCCACACAGACTGCTCAGTCCCCATTCAGAGTTTCCCCACTGAAGGAACTTTTAGAGCAGCTTTGTCAGACGGGATAATTTAGTGGCCAGTAGGGGTAGAGCCGCCATGTTTTTAAGGAGCTGTGCACAGCGTGGATACCTTCTACAGCTAGAATAGCATCGCTGGGAAGGAGTCGGTTTATCTTAGCAGCTGCAGAAGGGCACAAAGAAAACCAGACCAAAGGTCATTCCTTAGATTTATTGGACCTTCGTGAGCAGAATAAACCATCACTGAACATGTAAACACAGCCTCCCCGCCATGATGGTGGTGGCAGCATCATGCTGTGTGGAGCCTTTTCTCAGTCAGAGGCAGAGAAGCTGTGAAAGTAAAATCAGTGATTTCCTGAGAGGTAGAAATGTTTATGATGTAGCAGAATATGGAAAAGCTCAGAGAACTGGATGCTGGGGAGCTTCCCCTTCTGTCGCCATGACGCCAGAATAACAGCCAACCGTCGGACACTAGGGAACTGATTCGGTATGGAGTGAGTTTGGATCCATTATTGTTGCAAAGAAAACAATTTGGAAAGTGAAATTTAAAAATTAATTAATCCCCAAATCTAAGTTAGAAGAACCGTTAAATCAATTTCAATATTGTTTTTATTTGATTATTTATTTAACGTAACATATAAGGTAAAAACTTTTTCCTGTAAGATCCGTAAAATTAAACAATGAATAATTATTTGAAAAAAAAAATTATGAAAAATAAATGTGGAAAAAACAAAATCAGAACAAACAGAAAAGTAACTCTTAAAATTTTTGTTTTTTTCATTTTTTTTTTTCATTTTTTCCTTCTAATTTCAATTTACAAATCATCTTCTTTGCTTGCAACAATAATAGACTCCATACTTGTGTTGATGATGACGGCTTCTTTTAAAGACTGACTCACTCTGAGAAAAAAAACCTCATTAGGAGAGCTGCACCATCGCCATGACAACCGCAGCTCCAGGAAGCAGCTCTTAAAACAACGGGAAACATGCCGTCATTCTGGAAAGGTGTCATTCCTGCAGCGGAGTCTGTCCCCGTCCTCAGGCCAGTCGCTCCAACATGCTGAGACTGCGAGCGAGCGTCAGAGGGCGGCCGATACGCGCCTGAGTAATAACATCAGCAGATATCATGCATTCAGCTTCAGCCTGAAGCGAGCTGCATGTCAGGCTGCCAGGTGAAACTGCTCCAGGTTTGATTGGAGCAAACAGACTGCAGGCTTAACCTTTAGAAAATAACAAGGAAGGAAAACTTTTATAGCAGTACGGGATGAGTATTTTATGAGCATAATATTTCCAGGAATAGATCCTGCTGTACTCTGTAGATGATCAGACTTGGAGTTCATTAAACTCAGACAGGCTGTTTGGAGCTAGAAGGTCAGGTTTCATCACATCTGAATTCTGCTCGACAACCACCTTTATTTCAGCATCATAAGGCCACCAGCTACCAGGAGATGGATGACGATGGCAGATGACCCTTCTCTGACCTCTGACCTCTCTGTGTTTCAGTGAAGGGGACTGGTGGGACGCCCGCTCGCTGACCACTGGGGGCAGCGGCTACATTCCCAGTAACTATGTGGCTCCTGTGGACTCCATCCAGGCTGAAGAGTGAGTGCTGCGTCTTGGTTGAATGTGTTTGCTCTGTTAGCATAAAGCAGCAGCTAGCTAACAGCTCTCTGTCCGCCATCACAGCTGGTACTTCGGTAAACTGGGCCGGAAGGATGCAGAGAGGCAGCTGCTGTCCACCGGAAACCCTCGGGGCACCTACCTGATCCGAGAGAGCGAAACCACCAAGGGTAAAGAACAGCTCCGTCCCCTGCTGCCTCCTATCTGTGTGTGAGGGGGGGGTTCATTTTTCCTGTTTTCCCCTGTGTCCCCCAGGGGCCTTCTCCCTCTCCATACGGGACTGGGACGACGTGAAAGGAGATCACGTCAAGCACTATAAGATTCGCAAGCTGGACAGCGGAGGCTATTACATCACCACCAGGGCTCAGTTCGACACGCTGCAGCAGCTGGTTCAGCACTACTCAGGTACAACGCTGCGTTTGGAGCACGGCTCGCTACCCGGGTAGGAGAGGCAGAAGGGACAGGCGGGGGAAGAGGAAAGGAGGGGCCAGAGGACAGGTGGGTGCAGAGAACAGACGGTTCTAAAGGACAGACGGGGCCAAAAGACAGGCGGTTCTAAAGGACAAAGGTTAGCTGGGGCCAGAGGATCTGCGCAGATGAAGAAAGGGGCCCATTTAGTGTCAGATGATTGGATTCGATGATGCCACCCTATCTGGCAGCGTTCTTTAGAAAGAGGCCCACAGCATCACTGCTCTCCACCATGCTTTCCTTCAGGTCTCCAAACCCTCCTGGATGATTTGATAAAGTCTTATATTTCCTCCCCAAAGAATAAACAAACACTCTGATGATTATTTAACCTATTTTCAGGCATTCAGACGCGTCTTTTAGAGACCTGTACTGCTTTAATACTGGATTAACCAAGAGAAATGTCCTTCTCCTTCTGGTCCATCAGTCGACCCCCTTTGAAAGGCAGAGACTCCTAAATCTATGCAGAGAAATGTGGCTCAGAGTTAAAGTAACAATAACCGGATATATGAGCACCAGACATGGGGGACTCATGACATGACTCGAACTTGAGCCTGTTTACTTGAAAAGACTCGGTATTTTAATTTTAAAACAGCAGTTAGTTAAAAGCGAAAACTAATGTCAGTCATCCATGATAAACAAACTCCTGGACCGGGTCGAATCACATCGGCCTCTGAAGAAGCTCATTTCTTCTGACACTGTTAACCTCAAAGTGTTCAACTTCCATCTTTGTCCCACATTTTAGCGATGGGATAATCCTTCTGCTACGATGAAATAGCCGACACCTCATCAACTGGTTGACATAGATAAAGATTTAAAGAGAAAAATGGTCCTTTATAGACATTAACATATAAAGAACAAAGAAAGACTTGAAAGTTGATGTTTCAGACTCCAGACTAGACTCTGACTTTACCATCAGATATAGGAGGACATAGCTGAGGCTGGGTCCAACCTCTGGCCTCCTCTCATGCCCCCCCTTCCCGTCAGCAGGAGGATTTTTCTGACATGCTCCAGTTGGCCCATCGACGTATCGATGGCGTGACGCCATCGCCATGGATTCGCTGCTGGCGTCACGACGCTGTAACCTCCCTGCTGCTCCGTATAGCCTACATTTAGGACATATTGCCGCTCTGTGAAGCAGAGCAAACGTTGTTTTTCTGCTCCAAGCTTCCCTCTGATGCCCTGAGCCTTCAGTCAGAGCGACTGGAAACCATCAACCTGTGTGTTTTATTACAGCAGAACAGTGAGAGCTCCCTGGGCTCCAGTCTCACACTACTCCTCCTGACATTTGCAGCTTTTATGAACACAGGGCTGCTTTGATTTTCCTTTTGCTTAGAGCTGAGGTGGCCCAGAGCAGTCCTGATGGACAGGTTGATGGTTCAGTTCTCCAACAGGGGAGCTGCCGGGCCGTGCAAACACCCGGGGGGGAGGGGCTGTACTCCACCGGTTCAATCAATGCAGTGCAAACAGCAGAGCGATGTGGGATCAGTGGAATGGAAACCGTTAATGCCGCAACATATGAGGACTGAACAGGACGTAATATTCTCCTCACAGATTACAGACAGCAGGGCCATAAAAACCATAGGAGACATCATTAGCCTAAAGGAGGGAGGGGAAACACAGCAGGTCCCTCCTGGAGATTCTGGCCAAGATTAGTCCCACTGACTTACAGCACAGCTCAAAATGTTTACCTTCTTTTTGGTTGTTTTGTCACTTCTAAATGTTTCAGGGCATCAAATATATTTTAATATTAGATTAATACATTCTAAGTCCTCCAAACCAACCTAGGAGAAAAACAAAACACACAGCTTGTTCTGCTACGAGTTATCTGTCTGCAACTTTCTGCAAGTGTTTCACTAGAAATCATCTAGATCAGGGGTCACCAACCATGTCAAGGCTGAGGGCTACTTCATGGCTACCGAATCATAGGAAGGGCTACCAATACTGACCTATGAACAAGAGGGGTCAGCGTTCACCTAAACTTCATCCAAATTAAACACATTTTTATTGTTAACTTTTCATTTCTAATTTTCCTTTAAACATTATCATTTTATTATTATTAAAATGCCCTATATGATTACTATGATGAAATGCTCTATAAATGATTAAAAAGAAGAGTCACAGAATAAAATAAAATTTCAAACTTAGCACACTCCTGAGTTGCTGTTTTCAGAAGGCGTTGAGGGCACCCCATGTGGTCCTTGAGGGCCCCTTGGTGCCCGCGGGCACCGCATTGATGACCCCTACTCTAGATAGAACCTATCTGACAACAGGAAGTAGGCTAAAGGGCTGGTTATACTCCCCGCAGCAGTGTATCGCAGTGAGGTTGATGCAGACATTTTTGATTTATGCTCAATTTTGAGCGTTGTCTGCGCTACAGTATACGCTGTGGGTCTAGATACGGCCGAGGCGGTGAGGAAGTGGGGACGAGTTTAGTCCGACGACGGAGGGACATGAGGGCCAAAAAGAGCGGGGATTCAGGTGGAAAAAGGGTCCCAGCGTTCTCACGCACCTCGCTCTTCTAGCTGGTCAAATTTCACAAGTTGTTTTCCGCAATTGCGGTCATAAAAACAAAACAAGCCGACCTCCTGTCTGCGGCACCTACAATTTGGGAGAGGTGCAGCGGAGTGTCTGCGGAGGGGGCGGGGACGTCTTTTTGTTCACTGCGACACCTACGCAGACGACCTAGTTTCGAAGTATAAATCAGCCATAAGAGATCACAGACAGAAGCAGATCCCCAATCTGAAAACCTTCAAGAAGCTGATTATAACAAAATACTGTAGAATAGATCAGAAACAAGGAGCAGAGGAGAAGATCCTGGAACTGTGAGTCCTCAGCTCATCCAGGAGGCCTCAGTAGAGCCCAGAACTGCAGGTCTCACTGCCAGGTTAAGGTCAGAGTTGTTATCCTAATGATGCCCCAAACCTGTGGGATAAAACTGTAAAGCAGCGCTTTGGGTCACATGACCCATTCAGTGATGGATCTGACCCTCTGTAGCTACACGGCTGAGTTTTTTTTTAGTTTATATCACTTTTATCGCTGAAACAAAAGTAACATAACATCTGCTGCCAGTCCAACACGGCGGTGGTAGTGTGATGGTCGGGGCTGAACCGACTGAACAAAAACTGCTCTGTAAAGAGGAGTGGGCCAGATGTCCTGTAATTAGGTTAGGTGTTGGTTTGGACAGCTGTTCTTCTGTTGATGAAATCATCTTTTGTTAATAACATTTAATACTTCCTGGGTTTAAATGATCTGATATTAAAATGTGTTTGATGCTCCTCTCAGGCTAAAGTCTGACATGAATTCTTCTCTATGCTTCACTGGATTCTGTCCTCCAGACTTTTTATTTCCCTCTTGCTGTCGTTGTGTCTTTGCTAACCGTTTGCACACGTCTCCCTCTGCTCCTCTTCGCGTGGCGCTGCGCGGCGTGTTGCTGCAGACCGCGCTGCGGGTCTCTGCTGCCGCCTGGTGGTTCCCTGCCACAAAGGGATGCCCCGCCTCGCCGACCTGTCGGTGAAAACCAAAGACGTGTGGGAGATCCCACGGGAGTCGCTGCAGCTCATCAAGCGCCTGGGGAACGGGCAGTTTGGGGAGGTCTGGATGGGTACGGATCCTGTCGCCTCCAGAGGACGAGGCCGCGTGGACGGAGGCGGGGGGTAGGGGTCACAAACATCGGGGGCAGAGACACCAGACACAACAGGAAATGTGGAAACCAATAAATAAATGATGAATAATTGATTATTGTCATGTCAGGAGCCTCTGCCTCCCTAAAGATGGCCTCCGTCCACGTGAGCCTCGGTGCATGCTCCTCTCCTTCGTAGTTAACCCTGTGTGCCTTGCTTCCCCCCTCCCTTTAGAGAGTGCGGATGGTTTGTGCTTTAATTTAACGGGCGTGTGCATGAACTACATCCCTGACACTGTGGGCTTGAGTCATGATGCCTGGGAGATCAGCAGAGACGCGCTTCACCTGGAAGTGAAGCTGGGGACGGGATGTTTTGCCGAAGTGTTCTCTGGTAAGAATGTTTATTAAAAATGAATAAAAGTCTTTGAATTGTTGTTCAGGAAATCCTCTGATTAAACAGACACTTTTGCAATCAGCGCCTCACAAAACGATCCATAACCTCCTCAGATGTTTTTTTTTTTTATTTAGATTTATTGATTTATTTGAAAGAGACAGTGTTCAATAATAAACATTCCTGAAAATGCACCAGAATTAGCCAAAAGGAGATTTTTCATCTGTTGTCCCTGGAATGATCTTAAAAAGAATATAAATTTAAAAAAAGAAATAAAAACAGTTATAACTCTTTCATAACAGGTCAGGTTTAAAATACCAGCAGCCATTCTTTGGTTCTTTGGTTTTTATCTTTATTTGTACACTCGACTAATACAATCTTCTAAAATCTAACAATAAGGACACATTTCTCAAAATAAGTGTCATTTAGATGCTAAAATATTTTTGCCCTTAAAGTCGTGGGGAAATCATATTTAAATGTCAAATCATTCTGGCTTAAACATGTATATTAATTAAATTAAATCCTGTCTTAAAATCAGTTTTTTCTTAATGTTTTATGCAGGCCAGTTAGTTATACGTCATCCTGAACACCTAAATTCGGCCAATCATATATCAACGGTCATCTGTCAATCAAATTTTTCCGGTCATAGCATCTTGATTCATATGTCGCAGCTAATATCTGCAAAGTTTGAAATCAGAATAATTTCCTTTCCCATTGAGTTGCGTCCCAGTGTTCACGGGGATGGACGTCTGTGTCTTCAGCAGGCGTAGAGCTAACAGAACTGGCAGCGTTGCGAGGCAAGGGCTCAAACATGTACGGCTGGAAGCCTTCTACACCAAACCAAGCTTCTGCCGCCCTGGCGTCCTCTTCCACAACATCTTCATCCCCACTTTCCTCCTCTAAATAAAAAATGGATGACAGAGGAGACTAATCCACGATCTCCGACACTAAACTCTCCTCCTCTTGCATGTTTCCTCTGTCCATAGCGTTCCTTGACAGCGTCGTTTCTAAGTCACCAATTTAGTGCTACTTGGTCCCAATGGAATTTACCATTGGGAACCTACTAGCACTAAGTTGCTAACTGGTTAGCAAGACGCTTCAGACAAACCGGCCACAATCAAACTTGCTTGTGAACCTTCCACCACAACAATCCCGCCCCCTTGATAAACGACCAATCACATTCACTTTATTCACTCGTGTAAAGTCTGGTAACAGTTGGAACAGCTGGTTCCCTACGACTTTAAATGCAGATAATTATGCATATGAACTAAGATAATAATCCTTTTTATTTTAAATATAAAAAAAAAATATTCTGTAGGCAAATTGTCTTACCTGCCTCTTAAATATGGGAAAAAATCAATTTATTCTAGAAAAATTACAATATTTCAGTTTTTTAACTGCCAGTAGAAGCATAAATAAAGATCATTTCCTGTAAATTGTAGTATGTAAAGTAGCAACGATGCTAAGGAGCCACAATAACAGAAGACAAATTAGACAAATAATAGATTATAAGCATAAAGTGTTTACAGTTCTTCATTAAAATTTGCATTTATGTTAAAAAAATTTTATCTTGGATGATAAATAGATTGAGGAAGAAATCCTTTGGATCCGTTTTTCCTCATCATTGAAGTACAGATTAAATTATTTAAAATAAAAGGCATTTATTTTACCTTAATTTAAAATAAGATGATCTGCCAATAGAGTGAGGATTATTGCCCTTGACCTAAGATAATTAGATATTACTGAAATAAAATGACTGAGTTGCTTTATTTTTAACATAAATCATCCTAATCCAGTGGCAAATATTTCATGTTTTGCATTTAGAAAGCAAAGTGTGACAGTGAGGTGAGTGTAGAACCAGCTCTCTCTGCTGCTCCAGGTTCTGTAATTATTCTACCTTTTAACATCTAGAGATGTGAGATATTTTGTCAAAAAACATCTGAATTTCAGTTATATTATCATTTTTTTTACCAAAAGTGTGACTTTATTTGGATTTTCCTCTGCCTACCATAAAAGGCATATCTGGCTCTTGTAGTTTGCAATTTCTCCTCCCTTCTGTTTGGCAGTATCAGCATTTTATCACCACCTGCTCAGATGATCTCATTAAATGTAACCAGACTGAAAATTCAGTGTCTACCACTTGGATATTACATTTTTTCTGTTTTTAAATTGCAACCTTATCAAAGTTCCCTTTGTTCTACCTCCCCATCAAAGCTGGATAAAATACATAAATAAGTGTAAGGAATGAAAAAGTGTCTGAGGAGGTGTGAATACTTTTGTGAGGCCCTGTCTCAGTAGAAACGTCCAGACTTCCAGCAGGAGAGGCGGTGGGCTCGGGGCCTTGGCCCCTGGAGGCCTCCAGACGGCTGCTAAGCTAACAGGCATACAGTGGAATCCAGAAACCAATCCCTACTAACTCAGTGGTTCCCGAACTTTATGGAGTGAATTTTGTTCTCTTGTTGCAAACAAAGAGCATGTTCTGAAAAAGGAAATTGGGGGAAAATTAACAGAAAAGAAACTTGAAAAAGGTCTTAATTAAAAAAAGAAGAGGTTTTTAGATCAACTTTGCTGTTTTATTAGATTTTATTCTTTTTCTTCAATATCAGATTTGTACTTTTAAAAATATCTTTTGACATTTTTCACTCTTTATCAATGAGACGTTGACGCTAACATCCAGCAGACCAATCAAATGCTACTGTGAAGCTAATTTTGAAGCAAGAGGAGAATGTGATCTGGAAAAGGCAGTTGGAAAAAGATAAATTTGATTGACTGGTTAAAAGTTTCCATCAAGGAAAACCAGTTGATTCCATCGAATCGATGACTTACAAGGCATGATCCTCCTCAATGAGCTTGTAGCGGCTAATTTTAACTGCATCTGTAGCCGTTTCTTAAAGGAGAAGTTCGGTTTTTTACACTTTAAGCCCATTTTCTGTAGTGTCCAGGATGAAATCGAATGAAGGACACCAAAATTTTGACAAT